CCCGCCTCCTGATGATGAGTTGAGTAGACAAGCCTCGGTGGCGTCTTGCAAGTTGCAGAGCCGCTTCTCCTTCTTTCTCAAAAAGCTTAAATGATCAATTTTCAAATGCCTTCTCCTTATAAAAAAACAATGATTTATTTTGTTAAAAAAAAAAAAACTTTATATCATTTAAGTGTTGTTTGGCAAATTAGTTTGTGGTTAAAATAATCACAAAAGACAAAATAAATTATTTTAGCCATAACAAACAAAATATCACATCCAACTCATAATCATTACGCTATTTTCTCACAAAAAAAGTCAAAAAAGTTAAATAGCCAAAAAATCCTTCATAAACCAAGCTTTTTAACCTAGATTAAAATAGTCAAAAAAACCAAAAAACTAAAAAGCCGACCCACTTCCCAAACGGAGGCTTAATCACACTCATTTTTTTTGAAGAAAATTCAATTTTAAACTATGTAAATGGTTATTAGAAAATTTATAAAAATTAAGAATATGTCAAATTGATTTTTAACGAATAAACTAGTTTTGTTAAAAAAAAATAAAATAAATTTAATGATATTTTCAGAACGTAATTTTAACTTTAAAGTTGTGTATGAAATAATCTATATTTAAAAAAACTAGAGTTCTGTTTGGGCCAATGTTTAGAATTTGTTTATGAATTTTTAAAAATAAATAATTTTATGAAAAATAAATATAATAAAAAATACTCAGTATTTTTATATAATTTTTTAAATTTTTTATGGAAAATAATTTTTTTAACTTTTTAAAATATATGTTTAGTGTTTATTTTAGGGAGACTGATTTATAAGTCCTTTTTTCAGACACTTATGGTAGGCTAAATTCTATATAATTTCTTATAGAGTCTCAAGTCCTATTTAGATATACATAAACGTAACATGACGTGACACCTACATAAACGTAACGTAACGTATCACGTTACGTTTCGCAAACTTAATAATGAGTTTTTATTTTTTTAAATTGAATGTCAAAATGTTGCTGGTTTATGTTGGTATTACGTTACGTTTCATATAAATATGATCTATGGTAATAGGAAATTGAATATTGTCATAGATCATAGGTGTCATGTTACGTTTATGTAGGTGTCACGTTACGTTACGTTTATGTAGATATGATCTATGGTAACATGCAATTTCCTATATAGGAAATTACATGTTACCATAGATCATAAGTGTCACGTTACGTTTATATAGGTGTCACGTTACGTTTATGTAGGTGTCACGTCACGTTACGTTTATATAGATATGATCTATGGTAACTTTCAATTTCCTATATATGGTTTTACTATTATTTATGATATTAACAACTAATATTGAGGGTAAATGTGTCAACAAACTTCTCACAAGACTTATGGGAACATAAGTTTTTTAGTAGGACCATATGTAGCATAAGTCTCCCTAATAGGACTTATACATAATTTTTCCTTTATTTTATCAAATTAATTCATATTTTTTTTAAAAAGCAAGTTCAAAAAATTCAACTACAATATTGCGTTCAATAATTTTATCTTAAAATAATTTGCATTTGATTAAAAAAAAAATTCTTGATATCTATTTTTATATAAAGCCTACAACTTAGTTTGATGTAAACTTTATTATGAAAAAACCTCTTACAGCATGTTTGTTTTGAGGGATAAGAGGGTGGGATTGGACTATTAGTCTCACCGGACTAATAGTCCATTGTTTGTTTGAAAAATTTTGCTCCGGACTAATAGTCTCCCGGACTATTAGTCCCACAAACATGGGACTATCCTATCCCATGGGGGGTGTGGGATAGAAACCATGGGATTGGTATCCCATAGGATTATTTTGTAAAATGTTCATTTTACCCTCCATGCTATTACTTAGTGAACAATTAGAAAAGGGTAAAATAGTCTTTTGAACATTTATAAATTATTTTTTTAGTGTTGTTAATTTAAAACTATATATTAAATAAAAAATTTAAATTATAAATTATAAATTAAATTTAATTAAAAATAATAAATTATAAATTATGGCCTTATAAATTAAATTTTTTTAGTGTTGTTAAAAAATTAAATTTACATATTAAATTAAATTATTTAAAAATAATAAATAATAAATTATAAATTATGGCCTTATAAATTAAATTTTTTTAGTGTTGTTGAAAATTTAATTTATATATTAAATAAAATTATTTTTTTATTGTCGTTATTTAAAATTATATATTAAATAAAAATATAAAATATAAAATATAAATTTAATTTAATTGAAAATAATAAATTAAAAATTGTGGCCTTATAAATTAAATTTTTTTAGTGTTGTTAAATTATAAATTATAGATTATAAGGGTAAAATAGTCTTTTGAACATTTATCCTTATCCAGTCCGTCTAACCAAACATTGGATTTACTAAAAATAGTCCAATCCAGACATCTAATCCCATGACTAAACAAACATAGGATACAAATCCAATCCAACCAAATAGTCTCGGGACAATGTATCCCGGGACTAACAGTCCGATGGATTACAATCCTCCCTTATCCAATCCGTTCAAACAAACACACCCTTATAGTTATCGTTAATGTTAGAAAATGTGTAAAAGAATATTTAAAAATATCTTAAGGTATATGAAGAGTTTATTATGATTACAAATATTTTGACATTATGTACTTTTATTGCCAAATTTTAAAACTATTATTAGCATAACTCTTTTTTATTTTCAAATTAAACTTGGATTTTATATTTTTTTGATACTTTTTTCAATTTCCGTTTATCTACCATTTATATTTTGTTGAAAAATGATTTGTGCCTCGAAACTTTTTGCACCGAATGCCCCTAATGCCCAAAACGACGTCGTTTTGGGCATTAATTTTTTTTTTTTTCCTTTTTTTTCTGCCATTTTTCCAGTCGTTTTTCCATTTTCCATTTTCGTTGCAGAGAGGAAGAGGGAGAGAAAGAGAGAAGAGGGAGAGGGAGAGAGAGAGAAAAAAGAAAGAGAAGAGGAGAAGAGGAGAGAAGGGCCACCTCCTGTGCCTCGCCGCCGCCAATCGTCGATCATCGCAGCACCGCGATCGTCGCAGCCCACCGCCGTCGCCTCCGGCCCCGCCTCCGCCTCCCCCCGGTTGATATGGCCCCCTCCAGTCCTTCATCTTCTTCCTTCTTCTTCTTCTTTTTCTTCTTCTCTTCATTCGAGGGATTCGGGGCGCTCCAGATTCAGGTTCCCAATCAAAACTCTATTTTGTTTTGTCAATATGTAAAATGATTCTCCCTCTGCTTTTAGCTAAGAAAAATTATTGGGTAATCTAAAATATTAGGTGATGATATTTTTTTATATTTTATAATAACTTGATACAAAATTATAAATGTTACTCTCCCACTAATATAAAGTGCCACATAGGCTATGTTTGGTAAGGTTTATTTTTAATTTATTTTAACTTTTAATTTAATTTAAATTATTTTGATATGTTTTGTTCAGCTTAATAATACAGTTTATAATTTTTTATAAATTAAAAATTAACTTATTTTTTAAATAAAGAAGAAAAAACTTAATTTATAAATTAAAAATAAACTTATGTTACGATTATAAAGTATAAATAATCACCTACTACGACTCTACCAAATGGCCATAACGTTGTTCTGAACCATTCAATACTTTTGAGAAACACAATCATAGCGTGTGTACAGATTTATATGTACATGCACGCAAAATCTTTATTCTTTGTTCTGAGGTGTACCTCTTCCTTAACATCTCTGCCGTTGGAAGATTATCGCGACCAATTTTAGTACATCCTGCGGCGTAGAATAAAAGAAAAGGATAGCAAAAGGGCGATTATAACACGACATCAGAACCGTACAATCAGTAGACTTAAGAGATCACGCTCAGTCAACACTCTGTCAGCTTTCCCGAAAAGCTCAAAAAAATAAAATAATAAATTATAGTTTTGCCCCTTTACATTTGATATTTTCACTTTGGCATTTGAAATTTATTTTTTCTCATTTAATCCTTCATATTTTAAGTTTTCTTAGGGGTTGTTTGGGATGACCTAAATAAATGCACTTTTTATCTTTTTATGAAAAGATATGCAGAAAAGTAGAGAGGTGATGTAATGGAAAAATGATAAAAAGATAAAAAGATGAATTATTTGAGACTTCTCAAACTTGGCCTTAGTTTGGTTTGGAATGTATGTAAGCTTTTTAGCTATTTTAACATGGGACTAAAATGCCTCATTTAGGATAGATTTTTTTGACTTTTATGAGAGAAAAAATAAAATGATTATGATTTAAATATGATATTTTATCTTATTAAATTTTTAACTTATTTTATTTTTTTGTGACTAAAACAACCAAAAAAACTCATATCAAACATAGCCTTAATTTACTTTTAAAGTTAATTTATATTCAAAATTAGATAAAAAATAATACATTAACAAGTCACGTGACATGAAAATATCTTATTATATAATATATAATTCACATCTTTCACAAAAGTTTAAATTTTAATATAATATATATATATATATATATTTATGTTATGTAACAATAATAAAAACTGAAAACTCAAAATGGAAACATATTTTTTGTGTTTTCATTTTTTGGCCGAATTTATAAACTGAAACCACTGATTTATAAATCAAAAATTTTACCAAACAAGTTTTTATTTGAGTTTTTTAAATTTTTGTAAATATAAACAGAAAACTGAAAACGTAAGTGTTACCAAACGGCACCTAAGTGATTAAATGAATATATGACCTTAATAAAAAAGAGATAGTGAACAAATTCTAATTTCTGATTTGATTGGGTACATGAACACAGTGTTCTTGACTTACTAAATAATTTCTGGTTATTTTTTATTTAATTTTGAACATAAATTAATTTTAAGAGTAAATTAAAAAAAAAACTTAAAACATAAAAAATGAAAGTGCAAAAAAACATTTTTAATGATCAAATGCGTAAATGGCCAAATATAAAGGGGCAAAATGCAATTTATAGAAAAAATTCAAACAAACAACCCACCACCCACCATCTCGACTCTCGCTTTCCCTTCTTTTTCACTCTCACTCTCTCTCTCTGCCTCGGCCTCTGCTTTCTTTTTTCTTCAATGGCGGTCCTGAAGCTTTTCTCTCTCTTCCTCATTATCTTGACAAACTTACCCAACACTCTGAGTCAGTCTTCTTCATCACTATCATCTTCTTCCTCTGATGTTGAGCTAGTATTGAGCAAAATTAAACCATCACTGCAAGGCAAAACAGAGAACCTACTCTTATCTTCATGGAACACCTCTGTTCCTCTCTGTCAATGGCGAGGCCTCAAATGGGTTTTCACCAACGGTTCTTCTCTTGTCTGCAACGACCTCTCTTCTCCACAGTGGACCAACCTTTCTCTTTCCAAAGACCCATCTCTCCACCTTCTCTCTCTACAACTCCCTTCGGCTGGACTCTCAGGAACACTGCCAAGAGAGCTCGGCGAGCTCTCAAACCTCCAAAGCCTCTATCTCAGCGTCAACACACTCTCTGGAACCATCCCTCTCGAGCTTGGCTACAGCTCGTCTCTCTCCGACATCGATTTGGGCAACAATTTGATCAATGGGTCACTCCCCACATCGATCTGGAACCTCTGCGATCGGCTCGTTTCGCTTCGGCTTCACGGTAACTCTCTCTCTGGTTCTCTTCCTGAACCCGCATTGCCTAACGCTACTTGTAAGAATTTACAGTTTCTTGATCTTGGGCACAACATGTTTGCGGGAAATTTTCCAGAATTTATAACTAGGTTTCGTAGTCTTAAACAGCTTGATCTTTCTAATAATATGTTTTCGGGTTCGATTCCTGTGAGTGTAAGTGAACTAAATTTGGAAAATTTGAACCTATCGCACAATAATTTTAGTGGGGTGTTGCCGAATTTTGGGGAATCCAAGTTTGGAGTGGAGGATTTTGAAGGAAACAATCCAGGGCTTTGTGGGTCTCCATTGAAGAGCTGTAGAGGAAGCTCTGGGTTGAGTTCTGGTGCAATTGCTGGTATTGTTATTGGGTTAATGACCGGTGCTGTAGTTTTCGCTTCCTTGTTAATTGGGTATGTGCAAGGGAAGAAGAGGAAGAGTAGAGACGATGAAGACGATGAGGAATTGGAAGAAGAAGCAGATGATGATGAGAATGGGGGGGTTGGTGGTGGTGAGGGGAAGTTGATTTTGTTTCAGGGTGGCGAGCATTTGACATTGGAGGATGTGTTGAATGCGACGGGGCAAGTGATGGAGAAGACGACTTATGGGACGGTATATAAGGCGAAACTTGCTGATGGAGGGCACATTGCTCTGAGGTTGTTGAGGGAAGGAAGTTGTAAAGATAGGAGTTTGTGTTTGCCTGTTGTGAAACAATTGGGGCGTGTTCGACATGAGAATTTGATTCCTTTGCGAGCATTTTATCAGGGGAAGAGAGGCGAGAAGCTGCTCATTTATGATTATCTTCCCAGCAGAACCCTCCATGATCTCTTACATGGTAAGCTCAACTATACTTTCTTGTTTTTTATTTTTGTCTATTAATGCATTGAAACTAGAAGTATGATTTAATCTTCTTTGGATGTTCTTTATTGTAATTACAATTAGCACTGTGAAACTTAAACCATCTTTTAATTGCCATATCACCAAAAGAGCATAGTCTACAACTTACCTAAACATCAAATGTTGCGTTGATTATCGATAGGAGCAATAGGAAACATATAAATTATGTGATTTAATGCACTCAAGCTACACAAAAGATGATTCAAGAAGTTCTATTTGTGATTAGATTGTTTGTTTTTAAACTGTTTATGATCAGAACTGAGGTCACCCATGTAAGATTGAAGGATAAAAATGTAGTAGTTGCAAACCTTGGTTCCATAAATAATACTCTGATAGGATTCACCCCTGACCTTCTGCACATGGTCACACCCAGTGGTGGAGCCACCAAGAGACCAGGAATCAACTTATATATACCCTTAAATTTTTCTGATCCATCTTTCAACAAACGCAACAAACCATTAATTAGAACATGAATATAGATTGACTCCTTATTTAATTCACAAATAAATCTAAGAAACATCTCATTTTATTAAGTCTATTTAGTTTATATATATATATATATATATTTTTCTTTCATATTACGTGAGAGTTCTAGAGAGTCGAATGTTAAGATGGTTTTATTGTAATGATATGTACAATCTTAAAATTGTTTTGAAATATTAAAATTTGATTTTTTTACCAAATTAAAATTTTATTCCATACCAACCAAACCCAACAATCTGTCTTAGTATTTGCCCCCCTTGACTAAAATCCTGACTCCGCCACTAATATTGGTACTTCTCATAAGGGCATGCCCTCTATGGAGCAATAGCAAATACTACCCCTAACTGGTTCTCTTCTTTTACCATGCTGGCATTATGCTATTGCCACCTCAGGCCTTCTGATACAGTTAGAGAAGTCCTGAACAAATTTACTATTGCAGTAGTTTTCCACTCCACTCACAAAACTACATTCATTGTGGCCCAAGTATTATTTGGACTTGGTCATGCTTTAGGCACATAGTCTTGAGTGTTGGACTTGTATAGGCCCTTATGGGTACTTAAGCCCAAGCTCTGTCTGTATAAGCCTTGCAGCTTGACATGGCCAACACAGCTCTCTCAACCTTTATGCATATGCATTCCCAATTTGAAATAAATTGAGTTTTTTTTCCCCCATTTTATGCATATGCATTCCCAAACTGACAAAGCAGACTACCGAAAAACTCAAATGCACTCTTTCATTTCCTACTAGGCAAAGTAATGCTTACAATCTACAGAACTTGTCGAAAACTATGTAGATCATTCATGTCACCAATGCAAAGCTATTGCACACTAGCAACTTTGTTGCGAAAGAACTTCAACAAGGCCTTCATAGGGAATAACATATAATTTATTGAAAAACCTCAAGACATGCTTTCATCTAATTGCTTCTTCCTGACAGAATAGATTCAACTCTTTCTTCCTTTTTTTAACAAGCCTATAAAGATCAGGAGTTTATTAGAATGATTATTATACTGTGGTTGAGCAATGAATTCAAATTGTTCATCTTATTCTTGTTTGTAATTTATGCTGGTGATCCAGAATCAAGGGCAGGGAAACCAGCTTTGAATTGGGCTAGGCGACACAAGATTGCATTGGGTATAGCCAGAGGACTAGCATATCTTCATACAGGTTTTGAAACACCTGTTACACATGGCAACGTGAGATCCAAAAATGTTTTTGTGGACGACTTTTTTGTGGCCAGGCTCACTGAGTTCGGACTGGACAAACTAATGATCCCAGCCGTTGCAGACGAACTGGTGGCACTTGCAAAAACCGATGGTTACAAGGCTCCAGAACTTCGAACCATGAAAAAGTGCAATTCCAGGACAGATGTTTATGAATTTGGAATACTATTACTCGAGCTTTTGTTAGGGAAGAAGCCCGGGAAAAATGGAAGAAGTGGTGATTTCATCGATTTGCCTTCACTAGTGAAAGTGGCGGTTTTGGAGGAGACGACAATGGAGGTTTTTGATTTAGAGGTTTTGAAAGGGATAAGGAGTCCAATGGAAGAAGGTTTGGTTCAGGCATTGAAGCTCGCAATGGGTTGTTGTGCGCCAGTGGCTTCAGTTAGACCCACGATGGACGAGGTTGTCAAGCAGTTGGAGGAGAATAGACCGAGGAACAGGTCTGCTTTGTACAGCCCTACAGAAACTAGGAGTGAAATCGGTACCCCTTTTTGAGTTTTGGGGTTAGGTTGTGAGTTTCTTAATGTCCATCAGTTTCTCCTAATGGGGATGTGATTAATGGTGTTGACCTTTTGTTTTTGTTTTTGCTTTTGCTTTTGCTTTTGCTTTTGTTTTCTTCCCTAGTGAAGTTGTGTTTGTAAGGATGAAAATGGTTCATAGTCTACTGGTTTATTGACATTAATCTATGCAGAACAGAATGTTGGAGTAGCCTTTTATTCATATATGCATTGCCCATATGCTATATAAGCTGCTTAGATTTACACAGACACACACATATATATAGGGGCAGTGTGCTTGTATGATATTAGCTGTTGTGGCATGTTAGTTGAGAAGTTTTAAGTATTGATCTTCAAAGGGTGCTCTTTGCTATGTACTTGCTTGCATTCTTAATGAAGTAGTATCGTTTATCAGTACTTTGGAACTAATCTCAGTTTAACGCTTCATTTGTTTGACCTTGTTTTAATTTTTTTTTTAAAGCATTCTTTTGCATTTGTTACGATTAACACAAACAGAAAACACTTTTTGTGATTAACAAAAAAATAAAGTTACTTAGATGAAAAATTATTTTTGAAATTTAAATAATATATTTTAAACTAAAATTTTACTAATTCAACCACCCTGTCACCTCATCAATACCCACTACCATCACATTGTCACTACACTATCATTACTTCCTCCTCTACCTCTAACACTCATCACTGACACATAAGTTTCAAAAACACGACTAAATTTAGGATAAAATTTTTTACAAAAAACATTTTTGAAAAAATTCATAGAAAACATTTTCGGTTTAAAAAATATTTCAGTCAACACGAACAGAGTAACATGCAAAACAACCAAGTCCATAGACAGTTTTTGCTGATTCACATAGGCAAAAAACACAGGTTGGGTTGGGAGGAAAATGACATGTCTTTTGTCAGGAAATACGCAGAATGGATGTTTTGGTCCAGGCCTAACATGCCAGCAGTTTGGCCATTGATAATGTGTGTCCCAACTCCCAAACGTAAGTTTTGCGTGGAACAGGTGAGGGTAAGCTTCTTATTCTGGGGAGGAAAAGCTCAATGCGTACTATCATATTACTTCATTCATTTAGTTTGCCATGTAAAATAACTAACCAACACACATTTACAAACACAAACACAAACACGAACAGAAACTGCGAATTATAATTACAGAAACAAAAGGATAGCAACAGAAGACTTTGATCCTAAACAACATTTATAATAGAAAAAAGGCAACAATGAAATTCATCGTTTGTTTTTCTCTTTTTCTTTTTCTCTACTTACTATGCTTGTGACTTAACTGGAAGGAGACAAGAGATCAAACCAATACTAATTCAGTGGAAAAACAAATGGATGATTTTTGAAGAGACAGGATGAATTTGACGAAGAAAGGAACAACACTTCCGCACCTGCTCCAGATATTGTCAATTTTTCTCGACATGAAGCAAGCCGAGGTTGATCAATGGCCACTAGGACAAAGGTACAATACATTGGTGTGATGGCATTACGACGAATGTTAAGAAAAAAAAATATACACTTGTCGAATATCATCAGAAGGGACATATATAGAGCAAGGGTAGAAAACAGAAATTGTTGGAAACTGACTTGGTATAGCTGTAACAATTCAACAGGGAGGGGAAAAATTTTTCCCCCCTTCAATGATGTTGTGACTAACATTGCATGCCCCTTCGGCAATTAAGAACGCCAGCTCCAGAAGTAAGGGTGCCCACCATGGAGGAGGACTTGGCCCCTAGGCTTGAGGCCCTAGCATAGCTGGCTGCAGCACCGGCTCCTGATGGAGTGAAGTAGGCTCCATTGAGCAAAAGATCTCCCTCTGATCTCCAGTTCCAGTTCTTCCATCTACCGTTGTCTAGCTGCACTCTCTTGGTTACCTGTCGATACCATTGCACCAAAATCAACAAAATTGAATCTTTCAATGTCATCAAGAGGGAATTAACATAAAGCCCACCCAGTTGGATGGAGATGGGATATATATCCTCTCTCTTTCTGACATACCTCTTTAGCAAAAGGGTTGGCAGGGGCCAGGTATCTGTTCCCTTGGCTGTTAATCGTGGGTTCGGCACTGCCACCAATAGCATACATTTCCCAGTGAGTGTAATCATTGTTCACCACATGGAAATACCCATGCCTACACCTGCATTTGAGTTAAGTCAAACTAGCCCATCAATAATCCGTCAATGGTAGTGTCGATACAATAACTCAGATATGAAACATGCTTAGTTAGTGATGCCCCTATAATTCATGTTATCTACCTTGGCATTCTCTGGATAAGCCCCTCTCCAAAATGGTTGTACGCAATGGTTACCTGCATGATCTTGTCTCTTGTATAGGAGTCACTGTGTCCCAATAGCATCACCTGCTTATGAGTTACAAACAAGGATTTTAGTCTTTGCATTTGGTGATAACATGATCAATTAAAGCATGATGTACTTTGAAAAAGAAATGACCTCATTGTGGTGGGTGAAGTAATTGTTAGAGATGGTGATTGCAGTTGATCCCATAATAGCATCGATAAGGCCATCAGCGCAGTTAGAGAGAGAATTGTGATCAATCCACAAGTGACTTGCTCCAAAAATGGAAATGCCATCACCATCAGCCATTGTCCTCCAACCATAATGAGTTGGGGAGCTTCGAACCATGGCATTGCCCGTGGACTTGCAGTCATGGATATGGAGACCATGAATAATGACATTCGTGACATATTGGATTGTTATGCAAGCCCCATTGGCAATATGGACATTGGTTCCACGGGCATCAATTGTTTTGAAGCTGTTCATAATAAGCTCTTGTTTCAGTGTGATCACCATGTCCCTCTTGAACACAATCCATAGAGGCTTGTCCTGGATGACAGCATGGCGTAGTGTGCCGGGTCTGGGATTTACAGGATCGTCATCAGTTGGGTCGCTGACAACGTAGTACCTTCCATCACGGCCACCAATGGCGTTGCGCCCAAAGCCAATGGCACAGTCAGCTAGACGCTTACGGTTGCGTTGCCAATTGGGGTCACAACGCCAGCAGTCATCAATAGGGTTGCCAGTTCCACATGAAAAGAATCCCAACTTCCTCCTTTTGGTGCTATTGCGAATGCTCCTGTAAATTTCAAAACTCTTCATTATCATAAATTTTCTTCAACCATACACATTTTACATAATTTAAAATATTTTTATATATTTCTATTTTTTTTTTTTTTTACACATATATCAACATTAACTACCATCATCTATGAATCTTGATATTCCCATCATGAGTAAGTGAAATTTAAGAGCTTAAGCTAAAATTTCTGACAGATCATTAATGAAATAGGTTAGAAGTCACGGAAAATGAGTGAGAGCACTAATTAGTACCACCACTAATAATGTGTCAACGGGTCCCACTCAGTGCCACAGTGTTGTGTGTTTTTTTTTAAAGTGAATGTCATATCATTAATGATTGCTTTAGAACACCACTTTTAGTGGTTTCTATCATTGCAGCAGAAGTCATAATTCAAAATAAGTGAGAGAACTATAAAACTTGTCTACTTCAGATTCAAATGAATGCTGCCCAAATCATTAATGAGGCCAAGTGACTCAAAGTCAGGATAGCATACTGATAAATGAATACGGTCCATACGGAAGGCTATATGACTTTTCTTTACATTCCTCGCTGTCGGACAAAAATAAATGGAAAGGTAAAGTGAATAATTTCGTTGCAATATGTCGGTGGAGAACAAGCATGCCAAAAACAAAAAATCCAAACATTATTCCAAAAATAAAATATGCAAACAAAATTTATTTTAAATATAACATGTATAACACTAAATTCAAATTTATATCATACATTATTATTAATATATATATATATATATATATATTTATTATTTTTCAGAATAAATAGTTTTTTGTTTTTACTGTGGATGACTCTTAAATGAAATAGAAGTAGGTGAAGACAACTGTTAAATGAAACATAGGTCATTTAATGAGATCGTGGCCCCGTTAGTGGGGCAGCTGCTGGCCTTTTTTCTTCAATAATTGGGTGTTGAAATCAGCTTACACATATTTGATTAATTCTAGAGTTTTGAAATTAATAATTAGGCAAATATTCCATTGTTTACCTGGTATTTTAGCTATTGAGAAACTGTAATACATTTGTATCTAAACTATCTAACAAAGGTAAGTTAGTATATTACATTTATAAAAAAATTTATTATATGATTAATTTAAAATATCACAAATAATATAATGCGGTGCGCTTTAGGACTACTAAATAATTAGACTATGTGGGTATGCCTCCAGATCTGGTTTTGGGGTTTCTGCCAGGCTGGATAAAGGGAATGAAATTTATGTGGCCTACCGAACCAGTGCATATACAGCCGTGCACAAAGGAAAATATTTGAGGTACGTAATTTATTATTTATAAAAATAAACTCTAATGATATATATGACAAATGTCAAACTATTATTACACAAAACTATCATGGTTCAAATTAAAATTAACTAATGTGCTCACCTGCTTGAGAAACTTCTGCTTTATTTTACTCCCATGGCCATAAAAGGAATTATCAGGTGGAAATGATATTAAAAAATCAATACATTGTATCAACAACAAGAAGTATATTCTCCATAATGTGTTCAAGATCTCTTTTAATTGTTTTCATTGTCATTTTAAATTGAATCGTACAATTAACATTACTGAGTAAAGGCAATGTCTCTAGAATGGCATGTGTACAAGATCTAATCTACACATCATGCCAAAAAAGAATACAAATAAAAATTTGATACAAAATTTTATTCAAAATGATGAGGTAGTCCTTAATTTCTTTCATTTTAAAATTAAAAATTCATAAAAAATGATTTATATTATATAAAAAAAATTGTATAAAAAATCTGTTTGTATATATTTTTTAAATCGAATTAATGACTAAAATGGATCCCTATTAGGATCTGCCATAGTATTTCTCTTAGAAATAGAAGGGGCCTCCCTAAGTTCATTAAAAGGAGTTTGTTAGCCATGTGATGAAAGCAATTAGTATCTTTTTATGCAATTTTAAAATAAGAAAATGCACATATAACGACGACCACGTATACAAATACAGTTAATGAATGCTTTATCACAGCAATAAAGAAACATAACATGGTGGCAAAAAAGTAAATCCAAAATCTAACAAACACTGTCGGTATATGTATAAAGCTTGGACATGTAAATGAAATTCGGATAAGGAAGGAAACAAAAGGAAGTTAAAATAAATTAAATTACGTGACGCACGGATCTCGGAACAAGGCATGTGTGGCCAAGGATGGCAAGATGCAACAGCATGAGAACATGGGGGATGCTGATTGGTTAATCGAGCACTCTTTCTTTGAATTGATGGGTATTAGATTACTAGAGAGTTAACAATACTACATAATCAAAATATCTTTTCAATAAATTAAAAGGTGATGTTATGAAAAAATAAATAAAAAATGTCACAAAGAATATTCTGATGGAGTAGGATTAGCATTGTAATATGATATCAAAACTAATGACCAGGGAGTATCATTTAGCCTTTGTTTGGGGTGTGAGTCGGGGTGAGTTGGTTATTTTAGTCTGAACTAAAAAGTTTCGTTTATGATGAATTTTTTGACTTTTGTAAAAAAAGTAAAGTAATTATAATTTGAATGTGACCTTTTATTCTATTAATTTTTTAATTTATTTTATCTTTTCTAATTAAAATAGCTAAAAACATAGCCTTAGTTGGTTAAGTGGGGAGCAAGATCGATTTTGCCTCTCTTTTAATTGATCCTATTGATTAACAACACTGTATAAAATAAGGTCACAAAGTAAGAGGTAGAGCATGAGAAAAAAAAAAATAGAGTAAGGAGAACACCACAGACGAGTTAATGAAGAACAATAATATTTGGTAGTTTGAATTTTCATAACTTAATGACTCGAATGTCTTAAAATGACGTTATTTTGATACATTTGAGCCATTCAGGTCATATAAATTCGAACTATCAAACATTTTTCATTGAAGAATTGGGCTGGTAGAAAATTAACACGGAAATATTTTTTAACTTTTTATTTTTGATAGGACTTCTTATATCACATTATAGTTTTTACTATTTTTTAAATATGATGAATTCTGTTTTGTATATCTTATATGAACATGACATTTTTTACATGAATATACTTAAAAATTAAATTAAATAAATAAAATTCGGTAATAAATATCATTTTTAGTCTTTTAGGTTTGTTTTTATGGTAGTGTACGGATCATGTGAGACCTTTCAGCTAAGTTATTACTCTTGAAGGTCTCATTTAGCAATTTTCAATTTTAATTAAAAAATTATTATAAATTGTCACATTATTTTTTTACATATTTTTTATAAAAAATTAAAAAATTATTAAAATAATTTATTTTCAAGAGACCGAAATAAACAAATACCAAAGTAGCAGTCAAAATCAATCTCATGGACAAGGGAGAGAGAGTGTGATGCTCACATGTCAACCATGGAAGCGACCATTTCGGGATCTTGCACAGCAGCATGCTCATTCCGGACTTCTATTACTCTTGAAGGTCTCATTTAGCAATTTTTAATTTTAATTAAAAAATTAAAAAATTATTATAAATTATCACATTATTTTTTTACACATCTTTTTATAAAAAATTATTAAAATAATTTATTTCCAAGAGACCGAAATATCACGAACTTTCTGAGAGAGGGAATGGAACAAAAATAAACAAATACCAAAGTAGCAGTCAAAATCAATCTCATGGTCAAGGGAGAGAGAGTGTGATGCTCACATGTCAACCATGGAAGCGACCATTTCGGGATCTTGCACAGCAGCATGCTCATTCCGGACTTCTGCTTCTTCATTTGACCTGAAATCAGTTAAAAAAAATAAAATAAAATTATATGCTTGACATTGATCACAGATTCATAGCTTAATGGTTCAGAGCCGTTGGATTCATTCACTCATTCCTTAAACGGGATGAGCAAAACCAGCGAACATAGAAAACGATACAACATCGTAACAAATCGTTGCATTAGGATAGAGAAAACGACACGCGTGTCAGCTATTTTCCGATTAATTTATTTCTCACTAGAAAAAAACACATTGCTCGAGATGGTTGAAAAGCTTATCAAAGGAGAGAAGCTATTGGTCGGTGACCCACAAGAGTTCTCCGATAACTCTACATTTAATATATCCTTTTTTTTATGGGTGGAAAATTACTAAAATATCCTTGCTGTATGTGAAAATCAAGGGAAAAATCTCAAGGATTGAGGATTTTATTAAAGGGTAACATTGTACTGGAGAAAGATTTGAGGATTCGACAGTGACGGTGACGGTGACGGTGACGAAAGTAGTTTTACAGTGAACTTTTTTCTCGAAGTTTGATAATGGGGGAAAAACGGCCATAGCAACTGAATAAACGATCCAGATTTTTGCAGATTTGATCTGAGCCAACAAGATTTCTTAAATTTATCCAGAGACCACGTGGACGGTCAAGATTTGCTAAAACATAGTGTATATAAGATCAAAAAATTGAAGGGACAGAGATGTGTAGCTAACCTATTAGCCATTGTTGAGTTATTCAAGCTCTGCAACTGCATTGTGTCTCCGACACTGAAAAAGAGAATCATGAAGATGAGTACTTAGCCGTGGCTTTGATAAGGAAAATGAATTAAGCGAACAATAATGATCAATCAATAAACGAAAGATCTCGTGTCAAAACTACGATGAAATTGAAGAAAGATCTCCGTTAATTTTCACTGAAATTAACAAAACAACGCTTCGGCATTGTAAACCATGTTACACATTTTCAGAAGAGCTCGGGTAAACAGAGTGTCTCTGTTTCTCCTCAATCGGCCTACATTGCAATCAATGGCGTAAATCGCATTGAAAAATAAGATAAAACCATACCTAGACTGTTGAATCTCATCTTTCGCCATTACAGGTCTAGAAACACCGACGACGACGACGAAGAGCGTTAGAACCAGCAACGAGCAAGCAGCGAAATTTCTCAGAGAGACCGCCATTGTTGCTTCTCTCTCTCTCTCTCTCTCTATGAGTGGCGGTAAAAAAATTCCCTCACTTTCTCTCACTCTTGCTCTCTCCCTCTCTCTCTCTACAAATCAAATGGAAACAAATGGAATGGATATGGAGTTGAGGAAGAAGGCCAATGGAGCAGTGTTTTTATAGGGAAAAGGTACTATTTTTATGCCCATGCTCACCAACTGCGTCTGCTTTGTGTAATCAAACTCCATTTAACCATGGTTAAGTTAAACCTTAATTATCCCACTAACCATCCACATTCCAAACCTAACTAACTGCCACTAACCGACTCTCTCTCTCTCTCCATGCTTTTGGAGCTAGCTATATGTTAACTTCTAATTTATTTTAAATCATATCATTTCACATATTTTTAGGCATAAAAAAAATTATAAAATTAAAAAACATAAAAATAAAATAAAAAATTAACTTTCAACTAATTTCTTAAATCACCTACTGTCTTTTTACTTTCACTGTCAAAGCTCGGCCCGCATGTCATGTCATAGGCGGAGTCTCCCACGTGTCAACAGCGTCGGTTAGTCACGTGCTGAACCCTCTTCTCTCTCTGACATTACCACCACTAACTTCGAACCTTTTCAACCGAAACTATTCACCGCAGCGGGACAAAAATCATTTGCGAAGTATTATTTTAGTTTGTAATTTTTTTGATTATTTTAATTTAATTAAAGAAATTGTATTTTAAAAATTTATTAATTTGTTTAAGAAACTTTTTTGATAAGTCTTTTTTTAAAAGTTTTATTCCATTCAATTCATATTCTTTTTAACTATTTCATTAGGTCTTATTTGAGATAAGAATATCAAAATACCATCAATCTCTTTTGATCCCATTAATATTGATATTTAATATTGATTGTCATTATGTTTTAGTAGTTCTCATGATCATTCACTCCAAAAAAAATACATTATCTACACACCACTATTTTAATGTTGATATATATTACACAAAAAATTAAACATAATTTTTTATTGATTGTCATTATATTTTGGTAGTTCTCATGCATCCAAATATTGACGGTACGTGATGACGTGAATGTTCATATCAGATGACGTGAATGTGTATGTGAATGTTCACATCAGATGACGTGTGATAAAAGTGATGAAAGTTCACATCAGCGTTGCATTAAATTACACAACCACAAGCCTTAACTGTCATTTGAATATAAACATGACTGGATGTGATAATGTGAATGTTCACATCAGATGATGTTAAAAATATATCCACATCAGATGAGAGAGAATATTCGCATTATTTTTAATATATTGTTAATTAAAAATATATTCATATTATATAATAATATAAAATAATTACATCAATGTTATTTAATTTGTATATGAAATTTCCTATACCTTGATCATTTCTTTTCTCTTTCCTCCCTCAACATTAAATACCAACATTAAATATCAATATTAAATATAAGGGTATAAGAATCTAAGAAAATAGTGTAAATTAAGAAGAAAGACTTTATGAAATAAAACTATAAACAGATGGGACTTAGTGGATTAAAAAAAAAATTCATGAATTTCTTGGGTTAGAACACTTCTAAATAGGATTTATCAATAAAAATCTCATTTCTTTAGTTGATTTAATAATTGTAAGAGAAAAAATAAAATAATTATAATTTAAATGTGATATTTTATCTTATTAATTATTAGCATAATACCTGTGCTATATACGGATTAAAATAAATAATTAAAAATTATTTCTAAAATTAAATTATAACAAAATATAAAAGAAAATTTATTTAACATTAATTAGCTCCCATATAATAATTATATTTACGATAAAATATAAATATATTTCGTCTTGATGAATTTCGTAATTTTAGTTTTTTAATTTACCAATTATCTCATATCTATTATGTAAAATCAATAACTTTATCTATTTTATAGAATTCAATCAATCAAAATTGATGAATAAATAAAAAATTGAAAAAAAAAATAGTGTATCAGTGACCCCAATCTTCAACCCACTCCTCAAACAAGAGTTCGATGACTTCAATCCTGCTAGGCTGGTAAGTATAATCACTAAAATAGTCGCATTAAATATTGGTTAATTATATTTACTAATTTCTTAAAGGTTAGACCAATTGAATATTTTGCAAACCCTAAACCATTTTCTTAATTTGATCATCACTACAGATCATTTTTATTTTTTGATTTTTTATATTTTTTAATTGTTTTATATTAAAAAAATTTAAAACTAATATACTAAACAAATAAATTAAACTGAATATGCATATAAAACAACCTTACTCTAGCCTATAGGCCTAAGTTTTTTTATTGTGTATTTGATTGAAAATGTGTTAGATTTAAAAAATAGTGTATCAGTGACCCCATTAATCTTCAATCCACTCCTCAAATAAGAGTTCGATGACTTCAATCCTGCTAGGCTGGTAGGTATAATCACTAAAATAGTCTCATTAAATACTGGTTAATTATATTTACTAATTTCTTAGAGGTTAGACCAATTGAATATTTTGCAAACCCTAAACCATTTTCTTAATTTGATCATCACTACAGATCATTTTTATTTTTTGATTTTTTATATTTTTTAATTGTTTTATATTAAAAAAATTTAAAACTAATATACTAAACAAATAAATTAAACTGAATATGCATATAAAACAACCTTACTCTAGCCTATAGGCCTAAGTTTTTTTATTGTGTATTTGATTGAAAATGTGTTAGGCCATTTTAATGCCTAGTACCTAAATCTCGATATTTATACAGTGCGTAGCTTGAGTCAGAATGATTACTTAGCCTATAGTTAGTATGGTTCAAACAAAAAGTAATGCATGTACTATATGTGAATTTATAATTTTGTTTCTCATTTGTTAATAGATTTATGCATAATTCACATTTCAAATAAAAAATTTATAAATTTTTAAGAGTTAATTACAAACTTTAAAAAAAATGGACATAATACATTATAAATATGTACGAAATAACCTTATTAATAAACTATTTTTATTAAATACAATTGTACTTAATTAAATAGTTCTTCTAGCATTTGAAAATTTAATATTTATGAATAAATTTAATATTTTCAAATACTCATAGCATTTTTCACATTAAATATTTATGAATAAATTTATATAATTTAAAAATTTTATACTTTATTAAAATTTTTAACATTACAAAATCAAAAATTAAGTTTTATCAAATATGCTCTAGATCTAATCATGAACCTATTTTTTAAGCAAAATTTTTTTTGATAATTTAACAAAACTATCCACATGTTAGTACACCATGTTTACAGTCATTATTAAACTTATATAACTTGCGCCTTAGCCTAGATGCACCTTGTATTTCTTAAACTTTATTTAATATTTGGCATGACCCATATACTGGTTATAAATTGTAAGTAAAATTTTAAATTATTAACTTAAAATAAGTTGTAAATTTACTTAGTGCAATGTAGCTTTTGATAATTTATGTAACATTTTTTTTTATGTAAATATTCATAATACCTCAAAAGTTATTACCAAAATGAAAGATGTGAGACTCTTATGCTCATATGTACTCAAGGGTTTCCAATAAGTTTTTTTTTTTTTTAATTATTTAAAAAAAAAGGGTTACAAGTTGTAGTTTAAAGACCTTTTTTTTAGCCAAATAAGCTATAAAAATATCAAATAAATTACAATAAAATATAATATAATAAGTATAACATTATTCAAGAAAAAATGCATCAATTATAAAATTTGAAAATTAACAACAAACTTAATAAAAATTTTGAAATATGAAATATAAATGTATAAGTAATATTCTAACCATATGCATCCTCCAGAAGAAGAAGAAACTTACAATAAAAATTTGTTACTGCCTATTTTGCGAATAAATATGGACATTTCTCAATAGCCTCTATCATCTATTGTAACGCCCCAAATTTCTAACCCAAATGATAATACAACAATCATGGCTCTTTCAAGGAAAGCCGAATATAAATCTCCAAACTTACATTACATAATATAATAGTTCTTCATGCAATAATACATTAATCCAACAACAAGTAAATAAACAAATAAATACCCTCAAAGGTTTATAAGTTTCCAAGGCTTGAGCTTGGTTACACAAAACGGTTATTCAAACCCACACACATATAGCCCTTGGCTTACACACAGAGTCACAGCAAAATGAGAGTCTCGTACTCTCAACACACATTTCCTCGCCTTTAGTTAGGCGGCATCACCACATCTTTTCCTGCAGAAAAATCCTGTAGGGTGAGCATAAAGCCCAGTAGGAAATCCTTAACAAAGTATATACATTTTATACAAGTCTCAAGAGAAGAAATGCACATGCCATGCTATGCCTTTTTGAAAGAAAACCACATCATCTTTGAAAACCATCATGCTCAATGATGTCATGCAATTTCAGTTCTTCAAAACTTAATAATTCATTTCAAGAGCTGTAAATACGACTCTAGTAATCCCTAGGTCGGTGTCTGTAAGTAGATTATACAAGTACTACCAAATTGTCATTTTTACTAGTATTAACTAGAAGGCTCGACACCTATCCGCGCGGGTTTTCGGTCTTTCATCCCGGACTCTCTGGCAAACTTATTCAATATCATCTACACCACCTATCAAGACTTACCAACGTATTTACCCCAAAACCATTTCATGAAAACTTGTGTCTCAACATTTTTTTCTCAATGCAAATTTTCAAATCAACTTTCAAAATTTAATGTAATCAAATTAATTGTTATGCCAATAACACAAGATGAATATAAATACTTTTATTCCAATTCATCATCCAAAGAATAACACAATTCCCTCTTCTCAAGTATCCTCAACAATTAGTCATTTCAAGACTATTTCAACGTTTTGAATAATAATTTCCAAAATGAACAACAATTATTATACTCCCTGAAATTCATCATTTATATAAATATAAATTTTCCAAACATCTATTTATTTTGACGCACAAAATAAATATAACAATATCATTCATAGATTTTCGATCTATTTTAAAAAAATTTCCAAATTCTAGGTTTTCTCATCAAAACTATACAATTCAAATCTTTTGAAAGAAAACTTTCCAAAATCATATTTTCTTCAATCAACGAAAATCAAAATCCATAAGGTCATTTTACAGGAACAAGAGACAAACCC